TGTGTAGAAGCTTTCATTTTCTTATGAACAGGTAACAGGACAGTCTTCAGCACAGTACTAATAAAGTGAGGTAGAATTTCATAAAGAAGCATCTTACGTAGTTCAGAAACAATTACTGAAAGAATAGATAATTATTCTCAATGTCCTACACATTATTTGTCACAACTGGATCGAAAGAACTAATCTACTAATATTTATTTATATCATTTAAATACTAAATAAAGAATACAGTAGAAATAAAGAATATGATACATTAGATACAGAGTTACGATACGATGAACTATGGGCTCCTTAGGGTTGTGATAGACTGCCTACATGCTTTACAGAATTTTGACTACCACCAACACTAGCAGAATAAAAATTATATTAATGATGAACGGCATAATCCTTGAGTGACACAGAGGTGGATAAGGCCAGATTACAAAGGGAAATGCTGCATGTCTGCAACATTTACAGAGGAAGATTCTAGGGAGGATAGTTTTTGTATGGGAAAAAGAACAGTATTTTCACTGTATACTTGCATAAAGTTCTTCAAATAAAGTTGTCTTCTTTTCAGTTTATCTGGGCGTACAAATACTGAGTGGACAGTTAGAAAAGAGCAAGGCAGTTTGCCTTTCCTCTTTTCCATGAAATTACTTGTTCCTTATAGTAACCTCTGTCTGTGCGCTGTGAATCCGAAGTCCATGTGTATGCCAAACTATTCATGAGGACTTCAAATGTAAGAAATGTATGATGTTAATGTGTCTCATTATAGATGACAACAAAGGAGTCATTCCTCATGTGATGCAGCTGGAATTTTAGTCCATGTAAAACCAGAATATTCTACATTACAGCTGTGGGATAAAACTGCTTGGTATTATTATAGCCTACATAAATCTTACTAGTTACCACAGCTCAGTCCTCATAAACCAATAAACCTTCTACTTCCTTTTCTTCCAAGTCTCTCCTTAGCATATTTCTTCTCTTGCCTAGAGAAAGTGAAGCCTAGACTAAAGCCAACTGGACAACTCTGTCACTACACACGTTGGTTGGTCAGTCTTTGCAAGAACAAACTTGTACTACTCTTGTCCTTCAATGTCTTCCTTACCACCTGCTTGGCTATTATTGCCAGCTCTGTTTCGAAATAGGTCTATATTGTAATGTCTTTGAGCTTCTAATGAAATGGAAGTAATAACTATACTAGTATCAACACATCACACCTTTCAGTTTTCTTCCAATGGCAAGAGAAAACCTACCTAATAAAAGGAGGAAGTTATAGGCAGAATACATGAATATGCATAGAGTCCTAAACCTATAATGAGTAAATTCTGTTCTTGAGTTCAGTATTCAGAGAGATTCGGAATTTAGACAAGCTCAGTAAAAGAAGATGCTTGCAGGGGAAAAGCATAATGAAAGTTTACCAACAGCTAAATTAACCATTAACCACTGTCAATGCCTGTAGCTCACTACGCTTTATCAACGTCTACAGCTGTGTGTAAGTACTGCAGAAAGCCATGTTTAAAGACTAGCCTGATCAGTATGCACAGGATGAATTATTACTCCAAGTGATAATCAACAGTTGTAAACAGGAAACTATTTTCTGGGCTTTTTCCTCACAGTGTTAATATATGTAAACACATTTTATCATTTGAACTGGCAACAATATTTCCCCGGCTTCCTCATTCCAGCTTCATTTTAAGGTCACCACTGCTTGAAAAAAATCAACAGTAACAAAATATCAAATTGTGTTTGTAAGTAAAGTAACGCAGAGAAGATTTACATTATAAATTGATAAAAATTAAATATGAATGCAATCAGCTGCGAAAAAAGGTCTGCAGGAAAAAGTCCTAATTTCATTATAAAGGAGAACAATTATTTACAGAAAAGAGGCAGGAAATTATTAAGGGTTATGAAGAAGAAATTACTTACATTTCATTTATGTGAATTCACTTTTATAAATAGGAAAATTCATTTTAATTAAATCTGCCATCAAACACCTTTAATTTGGATCAATATAACTTGACAATCTGGGTACAGTAGTTTAATAATTAAAAATTAGCCACATAATTGTGAACTTAATGTAATTATTGAAATGTTTGTTATATTTCAGAGACCTTGAAAAGGTGAAAAAACGACCTGAATTCCGAATAAAATATTCTCCAGACAAAGTAAAAAAAAAAAAAAAAAATCACATCTGGAAACAAAAGGTTTCCATTCTAACTTACTAACGACTTAGCAGTGGATAGTCGACATGAGATTCATGCCTACCAGGGAGTGCATTTTTTATGATGATCGCTGCCAGATCCAGTGATCAAAATGTCAAATCACACTTGGTTGACAGCCAAGGCAGCAGGAGGAGTGGGTGACATTGCCCTCTGCTTTCTCCGCTGCTGTAAATTTGTTATCCCAGCCGAGATTTCACAGGGCTACAGGAGGGGGAGGGTGCTGCACCCTTCACTGCTGCCCTAGAAAATAGCAAAAGTTTTTTGTACCTTGCTAGTGTCTGCAACTCATGGCGGGATACAAACCTGGTTTTCCACCATAGTTGTCAGAACACTGTAATTTACAATTGGGCTCTGTGTACATAACAAAAGAAAGAGATGGATATATCAAACAGGCATATGGAACCCAAAAGAAACGGATAGAAAAATTCATAAAAGCAACAGTAAAGATAATCAGAAAGGATAAGCAGGCAAAATGCGTGTATGAAAAGAAATATCTGGGTAAAAAATACATCAGTAAGTCTTTAATTTAATCCCATAGTAACTTCAGAGCTTGAATCTGAGCTAGACTGTGACAAACGAGGAAAAAGCAATTATATTCTAAAGAGATCATTTTAGCTTCTCTAAAAGGTATCTTAAGTATTCATCACTCATTATAAAATTAAACTGCCATAGCTTGGAATGACTTAGAGAATTCAAACTAGTGTTAGAGCACTTCGGAAGTTTGATTTTCTTTGAAGTACATTTGAGTTTAATTAGAACAGAATCTTCAAAGAGCTCACCATTTGACTACCTATTGTAAAAAAGGCCAGAGGCTGGCTCTGCACCACCAATTTACAATCTTTGTCTTGCAAATCCTTGGGACTTCCTGGTTACAATTCTATCAGCAGAGTAGAAATGTAGGAACAAAGCTGCTAAACATCCAACAGCTACCCCACAAAAAGGGTGGACTTAAATTCTTAGCCATTGGTCCAGAATAATTTCTGCCATTTTCCCTTGTCACTTCTTTCATTACAACCTAATTATTTCAAGATTATTTTGACTGAATGTCTACAAAAAACTGCTTACACTTTTGTCACAGCCACCCTCAAACAGCAGCATGCCATGACTCGTAAGTCCAATTAGTATTAATAAGACTTGAGTATGTCATTGAATTATTGTTAGTGTCTCATGGTTAGAGCCCTGTAAGAAATATGTTCTGAAAATGTTGACAAGAAGAAGGTGACATTCCAGCCTCTTGTCATGTTTTTACATTCTACGTTGAATTCACCAAAGAAAATTTCACTGAACAACCTCTGGCGTAAGAGAAGATCAACATTCAGATATTCACAGTTTCACAAAGAGACAAAAACAATATATCAAAACATAGCAACTCAACATCATCTTAACACAAGGTGAAAGGGGGATAAATCAGAGTCACTGGTTCTTATCTATGTCTGAAATATTACATGAAAATGCAGAGGTTAGTGTTTAAGAGTAACACAGATGCCACAAGGAAATTACGTTCTCAGTGCTGTTTTTTTTTGCTGTTTCCCTGATCTTGTCAAGCAATTTTACAACACATTTAGTCTTAAAATTGTAAAGATATTCACTGTGCGTCACACAAAGACTGGATGGTAATAAATAGCTGCTGGCATTTTTATTTTTTTTAAAAGACCTGCACTATGTCAGTTTATTCTACATTTGCAATTTGGAGGGGATTCATGAAAGAATAAGAAACTGGATCTTTGTCAAAATATTCCTTCCTCTTAGCTTTTTTTGTGTTATTTCTAAATTATGTAAGATATTTCTGTCATCTTACATCTACCTAATGTTTCAGAGGAAAGTCTGGAAAAACTTTCCAAGCATCGAATGCTTCTGAATCTAAATCAAGGCATAAAGCTAAACAGATGGCATCACAATCAAGACAATTTTCAGTTTTACTGTTCAGAACATCCAGACCTGAAAATGGGGAACTGAACTAAGTATCCTATACTGTGCTTTGTAACACAAATGTAAGATTTTATAAAAATTCCCTTATATATCAGAAATATAGGTTCCTGGTTGTTGTTATTTTTCATTTTTACCTTGTCAGAACTAAAATACAGGGTACAGAACTATTCTCCCCTAATCAAAATAACAAGAATGTATATAAAATGTAGCCTCAAGTTAAAACATCAGACTCCCAGAAGTTTAGTTACATGAGACAATTTGCATCACACATACTTGCATGTTAAATTTGCCTAAAATATAAATAACGACAGCTTCCTCACTGACTGTGCAAGACCTTGCAATGTAGCTCCTTTTTCAAACGCTGCATACTTTTTCATATCTGGAAAACAGGTGCTACAGCACTTTGTTAGATTAAGAAACCTACTACTGTCAGAACTAAAATAAGAACCAGCAGTGCTATTCATTTTCATGTTTTAGCTGAAAACCAGTAACGTTCAGAAAGACTGTTTTTATCATATTTCTGCATATTCTAATCCATTTTGACTCACATGACCACTCTCCTAGCTGTGAATTCTATGCTGGCTGACACCCCTTCTGCCTCTCAATCACACTAACACGTGCCCATATTGCAAACAGAAACAAAATATTAATTCCTTTTCATGTCACCCCTTTGGCATATCTTGCATAACTCTATCCTCTCCCACAACCTTCTAATTGCCACAGTAGCGTTATCTTACAGCTTGAGAAACACCATCAAACTCCAACGCAGATTACAAGCAAAATATTCTGCATTGCATAGCAAGCAAGCTGATCAAAAAATAAATTCAAAACAAAGTACATATCTACTTAGAGTTTCTTTTCACTTACAAGAGGTTCTGCCATGATGATGCGAATCTTGCGTTCAGCCTGAGTAGTAAAGTTAACAAACAAGCTCTTCAGGACATATTCGCCTGGTTTACTGTCTGGGTCAACGTTGATAGGCAACATGGCTGGAGGTCCTTTTTCTCTCTGTGTACCAGAAACAGGTGGGACAGGTGGCTTGATGTATCCGTTACCAACTGGAGAAGCTGCAATGTACAAAAGACACATTTACTTTTGGGTAACTTAACATGTCTTAACTTTTCAAGAGCATCCGAATGGCCTGCTATTCTCTTAAAGCAAAAAAATACACAATACATAAATACAATTTCCATGGTATACTTGTAGGTAAAATTTACATAGTCTAGACCGGAAGAATAGATCTTATGCATTAAAACTGAGTAGTGTTTACTATGCAGTGCACACTCAATCTCTTTTTTTACATAGTAAGACTTGCTGACACCTAACTGAATAATATCCTCATTTCTTATCCTTTATCTTGTAGGCCAGATCTGTAACACAGTTGTCAAATAAAAAAACTATTATTCATTGATATTCAAACTGATCTATCCTTGCAAAAGTCAGAAGACTGATCTTTTGACTAAGGTGAGTTGTAAAGGCCTTGATTTTCCTCTCATTTATACTGAGGTCAACCAAGAATGACTCCTTCAAAACCAGAGAAATTTCATCAGTATAAATCTTATATGGCGAGTCAGACATGAAATGTCTTCCATGGGGAAAAAAATGTTCATTATGTGTTAGTTTTCCTGAAAGTACCAAACCCTACTGTCCCATGTGTAACTTGTGAGCTCACATCTGGAGTACTGCGTCCAGTTTTGGGCTTCCTCATAAAAGAACAACATTGCTATTCTGGAGCAAGGTCAAGGGAAGACCGTGAAGATGGTCAGGGACCTATGTGCTTGCTACATGAGTTAAGGCTGAGAGTGGTGGACTGGTTCAACCTTAAGAAGAGAAGGCTAAGAGGAGATCTTACTGCAGTCTTCAGCTACCTAATGGAGTATAGCAAAGATGGAGCCAAACTCTTCTTTGAGTGTGGTGACAGGACAAGGGGCAACAAACACTAGTCAGAATGCAAGAAATTCCAATTAGATATATGGAAAAAAATTCCACTGTGAGGGGGTGATCAAACACTGCTACAGGTTGCCCACAGAAATACTAGAAATTCCACTCTTGGAGGTACTCGAAACTTGACTGGACAAGGCCCTGAGAAACCTTCTCTAGTTGGTGAGCAGAGGCTGGACTAATCATCCTCTAGACATCCCTCCCAATCTAAATTATCCTGTGATTCTGTAAATTCCCCACAACCAGTATCAAGATATCATGTACTAGGCTTAGCTCTGTTTTTCTGGGAAATTGAAGAAAAAACAAATTGAAGTATTATGAAACAAAACCTCATTAATTCAAATATTATCATTCTATGCATAAATTTCTAAACCAAAATCCTCAGGCTTAGCTCTTATTGGCAACTGGCTCTTACTGGTCTTCAGACAGGTACTGGTAGCACTCTCTGTTAGCTTTGCCAGAGACTTTAAAGGCAGCAAATTAAGTACCACTGGGAAGACCAGCCATTAGCCACTCTGACTGCAACGTAAGTGTCATAACACCCACAAGCACTGCTGGCGATTAGGACAGAGGTGCTTTAATGCCATACGGAGTGTGGAAAATATTGTGAACTAATTCCAGTATGGCATTTCCCCATATTATTGCATTCCAGAGTGTTACATTGTATGTTGCATCCAAGTTGCAAAGAAAGACAGAAGAATGAACTACAATGATGCTGCTGCACATCTAATGCCTTTAGCCTTTCCTTTTGAGGAACAGAATTGCAACAACTTATGAAAGTAATTGTCACTATTAATTACATTAGATTGTTTTAAGAATAAATGAGATTGTAGATCTTTCCTAAATACTTTAAAACTTCATTGCTGTAAAAAAAAAATCCCAAAGATTACATTATAGTTTGAGAGTATTCAAGATGTGGCAGAATCAGACCTCAAATTCATGTATTGAAAAAAACAAAAGACGCATCGGAGAAAAGAGAATGTATTTTCCTTTAGAAAAATCAATGTTTGAAGTCCACTGTATGACAATAATTCAAGATAGAAATGCTTTTGTTTGTGTAACTATTTTTCTGCAAGTGTAACACATCCATACTTTGAAAAAAACTCCTCTGATTGACAAGGCATGCCAACACTCTTCAGCACAGCAACATCACTTCTTCTGCTCTCACAGATGTTTCCTGCTAGATTGGTTTCTTGCAAAGTTTCACTTAATTTTTGAGATCAGAAATGTAATCAAGGACTTTTGTTGGCATTATCACTCTTTGCATAAAACAAAGTGTATAGAATGGTTCTACATTGATACTATACAAAACTGTTTCTAAAAATACACTCTTGTCCTGAATAATAATCTACTTCAAAGTAAGGAAAAAAGAGCCATCAGAGAAAAGTGTAAGTGCTACTGCTCTCCTGTCATCACCTAGGCTTTCCTAAAGTTTAAGCATGAAGACTGGGATCCAAAGGATCAAACAGAAATCTATATGGATTATCGAATGCACAAGGTAATGGAAATTTCTTCACAAATAGCTTTAGAAAAGAGTCAGAAAACATTTTTACAAACAATAATATATTTGCCAAATATGTGATTCTGATCCACGAAATCAGTTTGATCACCAGGTGTTCAGTTAGGAAAAATGTTTTTTATGAACAGTGAAACTAATGTTCATAGAACCATAGCATGGTTAGAGTTGGAAGGGACCTCAAAGATCATCTAGTTCCAACCCCCCTGCCATGGGCAGGGAAATCCTCCACTACATCACGTTGCCCAATGCCTCAGCCAACCTGCTCTTGAACACTTCCAGGGATAGGGCATCCACAACTTCTCTGGGCAACCTGTTCCAGTGCCTCACCACCCTCAGAAGGAAAAATTTCTTCCTTGTATCTAATCAAAATCTACGCTCTTTCAGTTTAAAGCCATTGCCCCTTGTCCTGTCATGACATGCCCTTGTAAAAAGCCCCTCTCCAGCTTTCCTGTAGGCCCCCTTTAGGTACTGGAAGACTGGTAGAAGGTCTGCCTGTAGCCACTTTTCTCTTCTCCAGGCTGAACAACCCCAACTCTCTCAGCCTGTCTTCATAGCAGAGACACTTCAGCCCTCGGATCATCTTTGTGGCCCTCCTCTGGACCCGCTCCAGCAGATCCATGTCCTTCTTGTGTTGGGGACTCCAGAGCTGAAGGCAGTACTCCAGGTGGAGTCTCATGAGAGCAGAGTAGAGGGGCAGAATCACTTCCCTCAACCTGCTGGCCACGCTTCTTTGGATGCAGCCCAGGATATGGTTGGCTTTCTGGGCTGCCAGTGTACATTGCCTGCTCATGTTGAGCTTCCCATCCACCAGCACTCCCAAGTCCTTTTCCTCAAGGCTGCTCTCAATCCATTCTCCGCCAAGCCTGCACTTGTGCTTGGGATTGCCCCGATCCACGTACAGGACCTTGCACTTGACCTTGTTGAACTGCATGAGGTTCTCACAGGCCCACCTCTCCAGCCTGTCAAGGTCCCTCTGGATGGCATCCCTTCCCTCCAGTGTGTCAACCACACACATTTTCTTAAGGACTTGTGACTTTTGTGCAGAAAAAGCCCTACCCTCCCCCCGTTGATATCTCAAGCTCCCCCCAGCCGTTCCCAAGCTCCCTCCTGAGCTCTGCACCCGGGGCTGGGCAGGCTGCCCCCCCGCCAGCCTTGGCCAGGTGAAAAACAGCTGGGCTGGGCCGCCCGCCTCTCTCTAGCCAGCACAACCATCCCAGGCTCCCTCTTGAAGGAATCTGTAGGAATCTAATCAAATGCAAACCTGCCTTCTGGTCCTCAGGCAATTTTGGTTTAAATCAGCTACTGAGTTCAAAATTTACTATGAAGGGACACGCAGGAGGGATGGAAGGAAGGCAGGCAGGATGTGAGATCAAGCACGCCTCACATCCTTACAAAATTAAGTTTAAGAAACCCTAGTCACACTACCTGGGAGCTGCCATCCTTCAATCATCGTGGCATTCAGCCAGGATTTTGAGAAAAATTTAAATCCACATTTAAACATTTAAATCCACTAGGAAGCCTTTTAACAACGATGCTGTAAGGTTTGTGACACAGATTGATCTAATTCTTTTTTTTTTCCAGACATCTAAATGAAAGATCAATGATTCACACACTGTGATAGCGAAATGCAATTATTTGTGAGATTTGTCACTGCACCAAAATTTTTTTTTCTAGCTCTTCTGTGAAATATAAGACTGTACAGCCATTACCCCAAAGGAAAGAAAAAGGCTGTCCTGGGGCTTAACATCTACCATTGCTACAGCAATTACAGCACTTACAGAAATGACTGACATATGACATTGATTTAGTTTAAATTTTTAAAAGATCATTTTTTAATGTTTAACTCGATATAAGCATCTTCAGTGTGGAAGTTCACATTGCTAACAGTGTGAGGGTTCTGAGTTGATCATTGAGTTGGGCATGAACTACTATATACAGGTTTGGCTTTCTAATGCATCTTTTCAGTTCCATCATCTCAAGCATTTGCATATGCTTGATATTCACATCACAAAAATCTGGCCCAGTGACTAGACTATCATTTACATCTATACTGATGATGTAAGAGCTTTAACAGAATATAGTTCTTTTTCCTAGACTGAGAGCCCTACAAAGCTCATTAAAAAAAAAAAAAAGTTGCCTCTGAGACAACTGGAAACAAAGGACTTGAAATTTAAGCAATAGCTGCATTAAAGTAATCCACGATTGGTCCCTTTATGCCAACACATTATAATGTGGGCCTTAAAAACAGCAATAAAAAGGAAGTGTCCATTTTTGCCATCTGATTTCAAAATAACAATGTTCTACAAAGAGAAGTATCAGAATGGACCACTGAAACATTTAGTTTGAACTCCTAACATATTGCAGGGTATTGGTCACCACACAAGTACTGCACTAAACTAAACCCTTTACCTAGAGAGAAGTAGCTTATTCCCAAGAACAATGAATGGTGATGAACATGCAGGAGATCATGGTAACCCTGTTGTCCAAGGGCCCTGAAGTAGCCCGGCATCTATAAGTCATTTTAGAAAGTTATACACATATTTAAAGCTCCTTTCCTATGAAAATCTGTAAAAAAAGATTAACTATGCTTGATCAACTATAAGATGC